AATGTTAAAAATAAGAAATTTAAATATAATTACTGAAATAATTTGAAATGATTATATAAACTTAATTGAATTAAATTATGGGTTGAAGAGAAAATAAAAGAGGTTATATACTACCCATTACTTAAAAGCTTGGAAAAGGAATAGCACCAAAGAAGAAATTATCGAATTAAGTATTAGTACAAAAGAAGATATGAAAATGTAGGCTGCTTGTGTGGACCACCTAAATTTGCTTAAAAGAGAGGAAATATTAAGAGTCTCACAATAATTACAGCTGTTTACTTCACTCTCTTTGTTGTAATTGAAACTCAATGTGTGATTTGTTTTTCATGTGTAGATAACGGTCAGGATTTGAGGTAGAATTGGAGAGGTTGCATCACCAGAAGAATCATGATGATCCCAAGTGAAAACTATAATTCTTATTTCTTCATGTAGTGTTATAGTGACATGTTTGAATGTCTCGTATTGTGTAATTTGATGAGTGAATATGTATGATTTTGAACCTTGTATTATTAACATGCATTTCCTATGACAATGTTTGACAAGTGATGGTTGTCATAGATGTGTAGATGATATTGTCGGAACGGTCCTTAAGTTTTTTAGGGCTATGACGGGGAGTGATCCAACTTAATTTTAGAAAATATCGGGTTTTAAAATAAATACATAAATAACAAATTTAGAGTAGCCATTGACCTTTGGGTTAGCTAGGTCGAATATCTAAAAATATCTTTTAAAATAATTTTAAAAGATAAAAATTGGTCTGCGTTTAACTAGAAATTCGTTTTGGAAAGGGTTCGGGAGTCGATTACGTGTGGGGAATGATTAACACCCCCCAAAACTCCCTAAATCGGTACCTAAGCGATTATACGTCATCTAAATATTGAAATTGACAAATTCGAATAACATTTAAATTGTGATCCTTTTTAGAAAAATTAAAAGAGATATTATTTTGTACGAACAATACTCGAAAATACCTTCCTAGTTAGTTAAGGGGGTATTTTTTTATAGATTCCTCGTACAAAATAATATTGCCCTAATATTTTTTAAATACAACAAATAGATAAAAATAAAAAAAGGATAAAAGAAAATCATTTAAATAATAAAAAGTATTATTTTATTCAAACAATTCATAGAAATACACTCCTTGTCAGTTAAGGGGCGTTTCCATAAATTCCTCGTATAAAATAATATTGAAAATATTTCAATTAGCAAGAAATTTATAAACAAGTAAGTGAAAGATTAAAATAATAAATATGACAACTTTAGGGATTAAATTATAAAACTAACAAGAGATCAAAGCAACCAATGCAAATATTCCATATGTTAGGCACTTCAAACATAAATAAACTAATAGTATTATTCAGAATTAAAAAAATTAAACTTAAGGATTAAACTGTAAAACAATCGAAAGTTATGGCCATAAACGAAAATAACATGCAAAAGAGGTACTGGAAAAGTAATTTAACCACTACTAAATTTCAGGAACAAAATGAAAAATGTTAAAATAAAGTACTCAAATTAAAATAAACATAAAAATAACATAACTAATATAGAAGGATTAAAACATAAACGGGGATAAACTTGGAGCTCATACCATAACAATTAAAACTTATATATAGTGACTAAAATGAACAAATTACAAAGTATAAGGTTCGCAGAGATGGTATTCCCATCACCCAAAAACACGAAAACCCCCTTAAAATGACGTCGTATGGGGAGGGTATAAATACCCAATGGTCGGTCTAAAATGGCCTCAAACCCCCCCCCCCATTTTCTCATTTGCTCTCTCTTTAAAAGAGAGAACTCTCTCGCTTCTCTCTTCTTTTCCTCTCTCGTCGGTTATGGCGAACTCGGCCAAATGTCGTACATCGACGTCGGCGACCACCGTTGGTCACCGTCCATGGTGGCCGAAAACTTTAAAAATTACCCAAAATACTCGCCTTACTCTCCCCAACCCGGATCTATCCTTGTTTTCACCCAAAAACATCCCCAAAATTCTAGATCTACAAAAGAGAAAAAATGGAAAATGAAAGGTTTACCTTTCGTCACCGTCAAATCCACCGTCGGATAGAGCCCTGCTTGGGCTATGTTGTTCCTTGCTGGTTAGCAATGATCTTGACCGGAGGGATCTTCATTTTGGGTTTTAAATCGAAAGATTTTTTTTAGTTTCGTTTTTTAGTTCCTCTATTTTGGTTCTTGGTTTTTTGTTGTTGTTTTTTTCTTCTCTTGCTGTTGTTTTCTCATTGTTTTTTCTTCTATTGCAGGTATGGGTTCCTTTTATAGAACCCCCAGTGCTTCGTTCGGATCGATCTTAGGGAGGGACTCCCTCTGAGTCACCGGGGCTATGGCGATGGCGGACTAGGGGCGGTGCCGATTTTAGATAGCTGGGTGCATTAAATGTCATTTAATGCCCCCAGATCTTTCAGGATTTCATCGATTTTATCCGAAAACGATAGCGGAGACATGGGGGTCTTCGATGGAGGTTTATACGACGGGAAGCGAGTGGTGAAGCTAACATGCTGGTCGGTGGTCATCAATGGCGGCGGCGAACTGATAGTAGGGTAAAAACCCTAAATATAATTTATTGATCTGGATCGTTGGATCTCTCACAGATCCAACGGTCGAGGATGGAGGCGGCTGGAGCTTTCAGCAGAAACCCTAGGCGGGTTTTGGGGCGCCTGATCGGGCTGCAACATTTGGCTTCGGGTTAGTTGCAATTTGGCCTTGTAAGGGCTCACCTGCTGGGTCAGGCTTGTGATCCTAACTGGGATTGGATGACCCGAATTGGACTTGGATGACCACTGGATTTGGACTTGGATGACCACTGGACTTGGACTTGGATGACCCGAACCTTGTAATAAAAATATAATAATAATAATAATAATAATAATAATAATAATAATATCAGGACGAAAACCATTGTCTACATATATCATGTGTAATTGTTGTTGGTTGTGTCGATAAGGATTGTCATGATATTCGTAAGGATGATATGTTATGAAATGGGTGAGCTTGGTTATTTAAGATGAGTGCTTGTATGAGATAGGTAAAAAAACTATATTTGTTCTATAAGGAGAATGTCAAACCTTGCTATATTCATGTATGAGTTTTGTTGCTTATGAATTATGAATCAATATTTGTTCAAAACAAACAAACTTACTATAACCTTCTAAGAAGTATGTTGACGTAGTTTTAATATGTTTAAAATCATTTTAATTTGGATTTTTTACATTTTTGTTACGGGTATCGATACCTCGAATAGAATATTAATACCATACAAAAGATTTTGTTTTGTATTTTTAGTATCGGTATTAGATCAAAGGTATCGATATCCAAAAAAAATATTGATACGTAAAAGATATTATCGATGCCTATCTTAATTCTTCAAAAAAAAAAATTCAAATATCAAAGTTTAGTAAAGTATCAATATCTCCCCAAGGTATCCACACCCTCCATGATTTGCTGAAAATTGTAATCTTGCCCTTCAACTTTCTAAAAATTACAAAAAGGTCTCTATGCGGTTAAACTAATAGAAAATTGATTGTATGAACCTTGATGGACTATGATGATATTAATGCCATGTCAAGTGTGTGATTTTTTCCAATGTACCCTTACATGTTAGTAATGTAAGGATCGTATTATTTATGTTTTAATTATCAAATATTTCATTATTTTGGTATGTTTTAATTTTCAAATATTGCATTATTTTCGTCAAAGTACGAAAATGATTAGAACATGGCTCGTTAAGATATGTATAAAACTCATAATAAAGAATATTGATATAAAATATGAAAGGTTGTGGTCCTCCTTCCTAATTAGCCCTTTTTTATACTTTTCTGGAATGATCAACATTTATTGTATTAATTTTTTCTTATCATTAAAAAAATAAAGGTAAATTAAGGACGAATCTTAATCTCATCATGGAGGCGTCACTGCTAAGTGAAGTTAAGAAGCTAGAAAGCCACAGTCTAACTATATTGATATCTATTGTAGCTATAATTTGTGGCAGAAATAACAAAGCATAAAATTCTTTAAAGCATCCATTTCAAATAAAATATAAATATATAATATTTTGATTAAATATTTTTTTTGTCAGACAGTTTTAGTAGAAGATAATGTCACATTACACCTAAGTTTTATATTAATGGAACTATACAAAATTATATTACAATAATAATTAATGAAGGGAAAGTAAAGAAAATTAGGGAAAACAAGTTAATGCTAATCAGTGGGCAAAGAATGAAATAATTTGTAGTGCACACTTTTCAATACTTTAATGTCCCAAAAGCAATTCTATGCTTAACCAGAAAATAAAATGAATGGTATGACATATCCACCACTACTTAGCATTTAATATTCAATTTAAGAGTTTTTATTTCGTCTATTATCAAAAAGATGTTTATTACTAAAAAATATCTTTCTACTTTATAACTTTTCCTAAATAAGTTCATTTTTGTTATTGTTCTTAAAGAACTTTTTATTTGTGTTTAGATACATCATTATTTTAAATAAAATATAAATTTAAGAATATATTGAAATTTTAATTTAGGATTAAGAAATTCCATGAAAAATAAAAGCTAAGGGTTTGTTTAAATGCATATTAAATTTTTATGTTAAGATTAAGGGTTTCTTTAGATAATCCTACCACCTCTTGATTGGAACATGATATTTTAAACTTAATCTAATACAGCTATGATATTCGAAGATTAGGTTTTGTACGTACAAAGGCCTTCCGATAAACTTGAACCCAAACATGAATAGGTTTTTTTTGAATAGACAAGTATTTAAAGTTACCAGAAAAAAACAAACCCAAAGCGCTACAAGTTAAAACATACAGTTATATTTATCTAAAAAGAATGGTAGAATAGGTTTGGTTTGTTTATTTAATGCATGTTGATACTGTATTGAGTTGTACAAAAAGACTTGCATGATAACTGAAGCTGATTGGTAAGCAGTGTGTAGTTCCATTACACTTGTACGCTTCTCTCTCTCTCTCCCCCCCCCCCCCCGCAGTTCATCTCTAATTCCTTGCCTTGAAATTGCGCCGACATGCTTACTAACAAATGGGGTTTCTTTTTCTTTGTCTCTCTCCACAACTAAGAAACTACTCCACCACCTGCTTCTCTTTCATTTTACTACTCCCACTCTTGTGTGAGTTATTTCATCTCTTTAGTCTGTTTTTTTCTTCTTTTTTCTGTTTTGTTTCATGTTATCATCATCTGGATCTCTTTTTCTTATTTGGTTCAGTTTCTGATAATATCCGTCTAAGATTTTAATTTCTTTCCTTTTTGACCTTTGTTTTTAGCTATGGGGGTTTTTGCCCTTTTTTTCTATTTTCTAATTCTGGGTTTGTTTCTGGCTTGATTTTGTCTTAAGCTCTTCTATATCACTGAGGTTTCTTGAAAGTTCTTGTGATTCATGTTCAATTTCATGTTTTATATTGCAGGAGGAACTACTTGATACTTGGAATTTAGTTGATCAGTTTGAGAAATTAGGATGGCCATGCAAACTCTGTATCTTAAAGAACATGATGGAAATGTGCATGATCCCATGGGGCAGTTGGCACAGGTACCATCACAGCCTTGGTGGACTGCCCTTAGATCTCAGGCGTCCATTTATGCAGAATCTTGTGGCCAATTGAAGCCCTTGTTGATGGAACATCCTTCTAATGGAGACCAACTCCCTTGTACTAAACAAGCTGAACAAGGAGCGAGCAAAGGGCATCCTGCTCACTTCTCCATATTCCCCGGTATATCTCATCTCAAATTTTAGGTTATTCTCTTATAATCAAGTGCTTTTCTATTATAAAACTTTCATTCTGTATACCAATGTCTTTATTTCTTCATTTCTCCTTTTTGAACCTTGATTTAAACATGGGATGAAGAAGGTACCAGTAGAGTTCATAGATTTGACGATTGCCGATAAAGTTTACACTATTAAGATCAATTATATCCCTATTTTATCACAATTTAGTTAGAGATAAAAATTATGACAATTAAATCCATTGAATCTTAACTCTGAACATTAATTCGAATGCTCGAAATTGTGGATAGTTTAGCATTGCATATTAAAATTTGGCAGGCTAAGTGGCTACCAAAATAATTTATTTCCATTTTTCTCACTAGGCACAACAAAAGGAAACAAATACATGTTTCGGTCTTTTAATTTTTCTCCTCCAGTTTTCCACTCATCTATTCAAATAGCGGTGAGTATTCAATTGAGTCGAGTAAAATCAATTCCAGTTAATCGAGTTGACAGTCTTATTTTATAACTTCAATTTTATTTTAATTTTTAAGTCGAGTTTATGAAATTTGAGTCGAGTTGTTCAAGTTTCTGTTTCAATTTAATTATAAATATTTATAATGTTATGGTACTATTTGATTCCAATTTAAACGATTTTTTATAACCATAAACGATATACATATTTATTTCTTCATATTTTCCATATGCAATATACGTATATCATGCGGAGTTGAGAGACTTGACTTGAACTTAAAAGTCAATCCATTACTTACTAAAAATTCCGAGTTATTCGAGTTCTATTTTATAACTCGACTTGAAATTGAAATTTTTTTAATCGAAATTTTTAACATCGAGTCGAATCGAAAATTTTAATTTTTTTTCAAATCGAGTCAATTTTGGTGACATTTATATTCAAGTAAAGCCTTAGTCTTTGAAAAAGTGAATGTAGTTGGAAATATATAGAATTCTTTTACTTTTGAAGTGCGGATGCATCTTTTCCCATGTTAGATAAAGTAGTTAGAATTTACACTGATGTCTTAGGATATTGGAAACTTAAGGACAAGGCAACTTAAAGCATCTTTGAAATGTTTTTTTTTCCCACTATTTTGTTTTGTTTAATAATCTTCGTGACTCGAGTAATACTGAACATAATTTTAAAATTAAGGGACATATCTGAATCGAGTAACATAAGGTCATTGATCTTTGTGCAAGTTATTTGTCTTTCAAACGAAGATCAAGATGTGGTAATAAGTTGTTATTTCTAGCATGCTAGTAGCAAAGGATCGAGGGGCTGGCAGGGCTCATATAATTTAGATATTTTCTTTATATATTCTATTGATAATATGTTTTTGTTTTCTAAATTTTTATAAGTTCATCTCTTTTAATAAAAAATCCTACATCTGTCCCTAACCCGTTTTAATCTAAACTTTGATCATTTACGTGATTTATTAAGAAACTACATGCGGTACTAAGATGGCACGATTTCTCATCCAGGTGATGGCAAAAGCTCAGGGGATGCACAGAAACCTCAGGCCGTCCTGCAATCGGCTACATCTGAACAGCATACTCGCTTTGAACTAGGATTTGGACGGCCAATGGTAATTACAGTATTTGTTTGCAACTTTCTTCCATAAACTGAATCATTTCTTTTTTCTAACATATTTCATCCTTGCTTAATCCAACCATAGGTCTGTGCAAAATACCCTTACATGGATCAATGCTATGAAATTTTCTCAACCTATGGACCTCCGGTTCCGGTTTGTCTTCCATTATTTCTTAGCTAAAAAGTTATCGGGATTTATGTCTTTCAAGTTATTTACATACTGAGCTTCATGTATTCGACGAATAGGGGCGTGTTATGCTGCCACTGAACTTGGCATCAGAGAATGGACCAATCTATGTAAATGCTAAGCAGTACAATGGAATCATGAGGCGTCGGCAATCCCGTGCAAAGGCTGCTCTCGAGAATAAACTCACTAAAGCTCGGAAGGTATTATCTTTCTCTCTTCTTTTGGTTTGGAAAGTTTTGGCCAAAGTTTTTGGAAATATATAGGCTTCTGCTTTTGTTCCACAGCCATATATGCACTACTCTCGCCATCTGCACGCAATGCGTCGACCAAGGGGATGCGGTGGCCGTTTCTTGAACACGAAAACTTCTAACGTAACGGAGATAAAGACAGCCGGCGAAGGACAAATTTTTCACCCTACAGGCTCACAAAACTCCGAGGTCCTGCAATCCGACAGTGGAACCTTGAACTCATCCAAGGAAGCCATAGGAGGAGGCTGGACACTTTCGGGTTCAGAAGTGACCAGCATGTATTCAAGGGAAGAACTTGGGAACAATTTCCCAATCAATCATCTTGGACTGTCTTTCCACTCTTTCCCTGTGATGATGGACAACGGGCGTCGCTCGGTTATGCCCGACAGGTGGGTTGCACCTACAGATCACTGTCTGCTGCAACCTGAAAGTTTGGTACCGAGGGATTAGCTTCTCTCTGGAAGCAACCGGATTGAACTGTGGTTGCATTAGCTGTTAGGGTTTGTGCAACAGGTTTTGGTTGCTAGGCAAATCATTCTTGGCTTATCTTTTACTTAAAGCTCTTCTTTACTATGTCCTGGAAGCAGCACTGATATCTTGGAGTGGTGTGGAAGATGCTAAGAACATTATTATATGTAGGAAATGTTGGATCAGACTATAAATAGAAGTGGTTTTTACTGATCCAATATAAACTTTGAAACTTGGGCTTTGTGTTCTGTAATCATGAATATTTAAGGCTTGTGGTGTTCTTATTACCTGCATGTTTGCTTTCCTTGTGAAATAATGAAATAATGTTGGGTAAATTATACTATGACCATTGATTTAATTATTGTTATTTTTTATTTTGACCATTGATTTTTATTAATTAGACAAGTTAATTATTCAAGTGTTAATCAAGCCATTTACTGTTAACATTTAACGGAGAAGTTGACGTGGTAATTGTTAGAAGATAACGACATGCATAATGAATGCTGAATTAAAGACATTAAGTTTTATATGGAAAACTTTTTTGGGAAAAACCTCATATGGAAGAGGAGAAAATTCACTAATGTCATGAAAAGAAAAAACAAGAGGAATCCTGATGGACAATATAATCTCTAACCTGGATCCTTAGTATCTATTTATAATAATAAATAATTGATTACAAAGAAAACTATATAAAGTAAAAATCTACTCTAATAAAGTTTTCTAATTTTAATCAAACTAGGTTTCTTATTTTCTCAAATTTATACATTAATTAATTTGTATCACTTTGAATTTAAGTCAAAATTTAAAAATCTTCACCTGACGCGAATTATGAGAGTGCAAGGTTTTGAGATAAAACACTCAAATTCGATGAGGCATGCAAACTCAACAAAAATAATTCTTCACTTCAACGAATAAGTTCACCTTGAGAACATATTCTCCATTTCTTCCATGAAATCACTTAGAGGGGTATTATTCAACAATGATTTTCAACTGAATCCAGAGCTTGCCCAAACTTGGATTTAGTTTTCACATCAGTAAGAAAATCATAAGTGCTATTTTTGTTCACAAATTATTCACTACAAGCAATATCATGCATAACATCATCCTGGTCATCGATGTCAATACTATCTTCTTCGTTATGCTCATGAAACTGAATTTTATTCTTTTCGAATCTGTTATGCCCAAAAAATTGAAAAATTGGACTCTCATTTTCTTCTCAAATATGTTATGTGCACATAATATAATACTTTTCTACCCCAAAATTATTATCTACAGTCATTTTGTTCAACACAAAATCCTTCTTTGCCATGAAGGAAAAAATAACAGATCATCTTTTATAATTGTTGAACCCTGCAGAATATAAAATTTGGAAGTATTTCTCCATTCTTTCAACAGAATCAGAGAGCTCTTATAAATTTGTGTACCTCTATCTTCCACAATATGAATCTAGTGTTGCGATCCAACAATGAAATTTCATACTTCAAATATGTCATTATCGTGATCGAGTCAAACAATTTGGACGCTCTGATACCAATTTGTTAGAAGATAACGACATGTATAATGATCGTCCAATAAAATATACATCAAGATTTTACGTGAAAAATCCTTTTGGAAAAAATACAGGCAGAAGAAGAGAAAATTCACTAATGTCAAGAGAAGAAGAATACAATAAGAGACCTCATAGATAACCTAATCTCTAACCATAATCCTTAGTATCTATTTATATGATAGATAGTTGATTACAAAGGAAACCATATAAAATAAAATATATATTTTTAGTAAATTTTTTTACTTTTAATTAAACTAGATTTCTTACTTTTTCAAGTTTATACATTAATTAATTTGTGCCACTTTGAATTCGAGTCAAACTCTAACGGTAATTAAAATATTATATATTTACATACTTGGTACTCGTTACTTACACATTCAATTAATTTAGTCTTAATTTTAATTTATCTTAATAAATTTAATTCTCCAATCAAATTATGATAATTTAATAAATTAATGTTATATTCCGACCAGCTTATTCAAAAAGGTAATTTTACATTCCATAAAATTTCACCTTTATATAATTAAAATTGATTTACTTTGAGAGGGGACTCGTTCGTCTTCTTCAATTTTTTTTCTTCCATTATTGAATGCTTCAAGAACAAAAAGAAAAAAAAATCATCCAAAATAAGTGTATATGTTATCCAAAATGTAACACTCAGTCTAGACACTACTACGAGTCTACGATTGACTATCGACTGTGACTATTTATCAAAACGGCCTAAAAATAATTTATAAATTATATATTTAAATAAATGTATCATCATTCTTAAAACAGTGTAATTTCGTGATTATGTCGTAAAAAATTGAATATAAATATAATATTTAATTTATACCGGAAAGTCCCAAAATAAAATAACACGTAAATAATCAACAACAACAATAACAAAACCATATTCTCATATGTAATGGGATAAGTGAAAGGTAGGGTAGTAGGCTGTCCCCAACTCCAGGTTAAGAGCAGCTTCCGTGGAAAACCTCCGGCAGTCAGAAAATTAAAAATAAAGATAAAATGCAATGTATGTATAAATAAATAAATGAATAAATAAATACATAGTTGGACACTCTTCATATGTCGTCTTCGTATGCGCGTCTGTAATGAGAAATAATCTCTAAAAATAAATCTCTGCGTAAAAATATCTGTATATAGTTATAAACGTAAGACCCGACTAAATTTTAAAAAAATAACGAAAAATTTGATAAAAAAAAATAGAGACAGTAAGTACTTAAAAATATAAAGAAAAGTTTGAAATTACTCTACGTGTCAAATCAAATCCTAATACTTTTGGGGTGTTTAAAAGGAAAATCCTAATACTTTTGGGGTGCGTTTGGTTCACGGAATGTAAGATTATCAGTGGGAATAAAAGATTATCAGGGAATAGGATTACTGTGAATGTTATATTTTGTGTTTGGTTGGTTTAGCAGGAATATAAGATTACCGTGTTTGGTTAAAGAAATAAAAGACTATTGGAATGTATATTTGACCAAATTGTCATTATTATATATTTGTTTTTTAACAAGTTGAAAAATATTTATATATTTTCTTTTAAAAAATTAAATTCATAAAATTTATATATATATATATTACAAAATTAAAAATTTTAAAATGTTTAATGAAACGATAAAACTTTATTTTAACCCTTGAACTTCTTATAAAATTTTAATTATATATTTTTTTGTAAATCTAAAATAGTTTAAGGATAAATTTGTAATTTAACATTCGTAGAATTTTTATTATTCAATGACAGAATAAGGATATTTTTGAAAGAAAAAAATTTAAGGGCATTTTAGTCAAACAACAACAACAATAACAACAACAACAAAACCAACAAAACCCTATTCTCATATGTAATTGGGGTAAGGGGGAGGTAGAGTAGTAGGCATGCCCCCAACGCCAGGTTGAGAGCAGCTTCCGTGGAAGACATCCGGCAGTCAAAAAATTAAAAATAAGGATAAAATGATATACATGTATAAATAAATAAATAATTGAACAATCTTCATATGCGCGTCTGTAATGGGAAGTAATCCATGCAAATAAATTTCTGTGTAAAAATCTCTGTATAATGACAGAAACGTAAGACCCGACTAAATTTAAAAAGAGGAAACAAGGACAGAATGATAGACAGAAGTCAACGGGTATTTTAGTAAAAAACGCAGGTAATTCAACAATACCTAAGGAAAGAGAGGTAATGACATTCCCGGTAATATACCCAAAAAATATATTATTGGTAATGTAAGATTACCGGGAATGACATTTCCGACCAACCAAACAGGGGAATGTGGATTTCATTCCCATGAGAATCTCAAATTCCCCAACCAAACACACCCTTGAGGTGTTTTAAAAGGAAAAACAAAAAATAAGGGTAAGTTAATAGGCCAATGTAATCATAAGATATATATAAGATGTAAATCATACGGATCAAGATACTCAACAATGACTACCAAAATTATTTTTTCATAAAAATACCATTACTTGCATACCCATAATGTTACACATCAAAATAGCACATGCTATCACAAACATCTTACATGGCAAGAATTCGAACATACAAACAATCTGTAGACACCCGTTTTGTCTGGGCAATTTTAAATTCACTTGAAGATGATCAAGAATTTATTTGGAGATTTTGTGCTCGGTGACGAACTGATTCAAGTGATAAATCGTGGAAGCTTGCATTTGGGTTAATATGAAATCGAGAAGCTTTAGGTGCTGAATTGGATTGTAATCATATTTATTTCAGTTTGGAATTCAAGAGATAAATTGAAAAAAAAAAGCAATCGATAAAGCAAAGCGATAGAAATACGAAGACTATTGAGGTACATTCGAAGCAGTCCAGTGGGCAGTGTACGTCATCCATATTGATTGTCAATTTTGAACATGTTCCAAGCATCGTCGGTTGCTGAAGTCTTCTTAACAATTATTCCATTATCTCTTATCTTTTCAACTCACTTTGAACCGTATCAATCCGATATTTGGAGCTCGAGATATGGCTAAATTAATGAAGACAGTGCAGGCTGAAAATTGTCCAGTGGACAGATCACGACATTCAGATGTATCGCCAATTTTGAACGTGTTACAAGTATATTTGGACAATTAAGTCTTCTTAACAATTATTCCATTATCTCTTAGCTTTCCAACGCACTTTGAATCGCTTCAATCCGATATTGGTAGCTCGAGATATGCTCAGATAGATGAAGACTGTGCAGGCTGGAAAATCAATACGGGAATTACGAATTCCATTCAATAAACCGTTGTTTTTCCTTGAAACCGACTCACGTTGGGACAACTTATTGAAACCATTGGGAGACATAGACAGCTGACAATTCATTCAAACCAGCTGGAATTACACTAGGAAACATCCACTCACAAGCCCATGATGAATAAACAAGAGGAGACCACGTTGGAGAAGCTGGAATTGCACAATGCCAACAGCCCTTGTTTTGTGAGTGGTTTACCCACTCACTCAAGAGGGGGATGCATGTGGGGGGATGATATAGACGCACAGCACATCAACAAAAGGGGGAGCAGATATTAAATCAGCTATTAACGAAAATAGGGGGAGAGTTTTAGAGAGAATTCACAGAGAGGAAAGGGAGAGCATGAGATAGGAAAACGCTCGGCAATTAAAGGAGAGCAATTGACGAGAGGGGGCTGGACATTCGAAAGGTCTCACGAACAGCAGGAGGCTCTCGGTTTTTCAGCTAAGGGATCGGCACATATCAAAGGGTGGTTCAGGAGCAAAGGAGGTTCACGAACAGCAGCATTTTTCAAAGGAGAGGAGGCCATTTTTTCGAAGCAGGGGTTCACGAACAGAAGTCTACGAAGGGGTGGCAAACGTCCGAGCAATATTTGGTTCCATTATTAGTTGCGGCATCCAGGGCAGGAAAATCGGAGCAAATATTTTGAGTTTTGTAAGCAAAAACTAACATATCTTAAGTTGTTGGTTGTCTTGGGAATTAGTAATGACGTTTTTAAAGCTTAGTAAAAATAGAATGAATCGATTCGTTTAAGCCCTTCCATGTGTATTTGATTTTGTTCGATTCATGATTTTTGCTAATGTTTTCCCTTTAGCTACAGTGATGGATTATGGATTTAGTTCCTAATGTTCATTAGTAATATTACAAGTATTTGATGTTAAGATGCTGTTTTTTTGTATGGTAATTAATATGCATATAGGATGGTTTGTTTTAGGTTGCTATTATCAATTTGTGTTAATATAACAAGGGTAGTAATGTAGGTCACGCAAGTTAAGTACAGTGTCGTTTTTTGCCTGAATGATTTGAGATTTAAGTGTTTGATAATGTTGTTGGATGTGAACTAATGCTTGGGTTATGTGCATGTATTGTATTCTCTTAAATGTTAATATTATTCTAATATATTTCAAGATTGATATTTCTAGAACGGGCGTGGAAAGTATCACTTGATCGAAGTGATACAATCTAATACGACGTTCGAACAAATACAAACTTGAAATAAATCAATTTTATTAATTAATTTGTTTAAATTCAGATGATGTAATATGTGTAATTCCCAGTTTATTGTATGTGAATGCAAATCGTCGATTTTTATTTATATTCGATTTATACATTTGTTAACGAGGGGATATTCTTTATTGAATAGAAATAGTCGAGTTAGTTTTCCTGATGGAGGATTGCTAATTTTGAGGTTTCTTTTCAAGTTAAAGAATTTTCTCTAAATTAATAAATTTGAAGCAACCAATATTCGACAAACGGATCATATTTCCAACTTTATATTCAATTCATGAGTTCCACCAATTACGACAATGTGTAAGCGATTTTAGTACCGATTTAGGGCGTTGTGGGGGTGCTAATCCTTCCCCACACGTAACCGACTCCCAAACCTGTTTTGATCGAATCTTTGATAACGCAGACCAATTTCGTCTTATGAAATGATTTTTCTTAAAATTGTTTTTAAGACGTTTTTTTTTAAGTGTTCGACCCACCTAATCCAAAGGTCGATGACGACTCCTTTTTATTTTGATTTAAATCAACTCCAAATCATTCAATTTTCCAAAAATTTAAAGTTGTAACTGTTTTAAAACCAAATGATTGGCCCCGCTTAAAAATGGTTACGACACAATCAACTGATATTTTAAAGTACCAACAAAACATACCTTCAACTTGTACTGTCTTTCTAGGTACCAAAAACTTAACGAACACTGAAATGATTATTAAAATAAATAAATTTTATATAAGAAAAGACGATGAATTTTAGAAGTTCACACATGAAAGTAAAAAAAACTGGGTCAAAATTAACAGGTTGGGTCAAAGTCGAAGGGTCAAGGATAAATTCAAATAGCTGGAGATTATACATTATTAGTTAAAATATGAAAAAGACTTGATTAGTTACTTGTTAAGCTAACTGTAACGTGAGTTCCATTCTTAAAATGCTTATGAATATTGATGACATTCATTTTCAAGAAGAAAAGAAGAAGGAAAATGCACGATCCAAGAAGCTTATGATCCCACAAATCCTCTCTCAAAGTTACCAATTCTAACAGACTGAAGAGACATTCTTCCTTTAAGAAAAACACCCACCATGTGCATGTTTTTTATTCAACATATTCCAACACTTTGGATTTCAAAATCAATATACATATATACTTATACGACATATTTATTGAAGGTAATATTAGGATTACGATAGGTGTAGACGATTCATCTTTTTTATTTGAACGTAACAAATTGACATAATTAGTGGATACAATCATTTGACACTAGTATAACTTTAACATATTATGTTTATCTACTAAAAGTGATGTCAAAGGATTGTTGATGGTCAGAAGTTATAGATCTCTAAAAACTACGGAAAAATTCTTCGAAAAAGGGAATATAACAATATTAATTTTTTTATCTAGGTTGTCGGCTCCTGAAAGAAAACCAGACTGTGCCTCTCGAGGCATTTGCTTCCTAAGCCTCATTCATTACAGCGACACAATGGATTAGCCTACGGGATTAACTCCACACAAGCCGTCGTCCTTAACGGACCCAATCTCATGCACGTTCCCAATGCCTCATTACCATTTTATTTGCCCCTTATAACTCTATTCACATTGTTTGCTTGTCTTCAAGCTTTATTGATGGAGAGAGGGTAGAAGCCTAAAATGGAATCACCAAATTGTCCAAGATGTGGTTCTTCCAATACCAAATTTTGTTATTACAACAATTATAGCTTAACACAACCGAGGTACTTTTGCAAAGGCTGTCGAAGATATTGGACTAAAGGCGGGTCACTTCGCAACGTGCCGGTCGGTGGTGGTTGCCGCAAAAACATAAGAGGTAAGTCCTTAAGGCTACCGATAGATGGTGTCCACTCGAAGAGTTTATCATGTGACTCGATTAGGCATTCCTATGCCTCTGCTGAGTCCAATTGCTCCTCAACTATGTCTGAGGGCTCTCATATTGATCTGGTACTTGTTTATGCAAACTTCTTGAATAATCAACAACCAGAAAACAAGTCTGGCTTCGAAGTCCCGGAATTGCGTAGGGAGTTCGACCCGTCTCTAGAATTTTCAAGATTATCAAACGCCAACATGGAATCGAGTATTCAGCTACCGGGAGAAGACGATCTAATTGGATGCCTTGCTCGTTCAGATTTATCCACTGAAAACCATGCGAACAACAATGAACAGATACACTATTATGGCAACTATGCGTTGCCACAACTGCCTGGTGATGATTTCTTGACTCAAGAAATACTGTGGTCCAATTCTCAGTCCTACATGAGTCCATCCTTGCAAGCAACACAAGAGTCAGTCCTCGAACAAAAAATTCACGATCCGAATCAACTGTTTGGTAATCGGAATCCATTTGATTAGTATAGTGATGATGCTTTCTCCAGGACCTGATCAGGGAAATGCATGTGCACTTTCTTATATTTACGCATAGAATCAAAATATTTGTGATGAATTTTGCTACCACTGTTTCGTGTGTTGCTTTTGCTATTTAATTTTATCAATGAACAATTATGTACAGAAGTATATTGGTAATTGAAAAATTTGAATCTATCTGTTTTTTCTTTTCTTTTCCCTACTGATCAATCTGGATAAGAAGAGGACAGATTGGTAGGTATGCAAGGGGAATTCTTCCAAACTCTGGCATGCAATTTCAGCACTTCTCTTGCCCTCTCTTTAGTCTTGGATCCACAATCAAGTTGAAGCACCAAGCACAGTTTAGCCACAACACCTAATTGCAGCATCTCTTGAAGCACATTAATGGTGGCACAGAACTTAGAAATCGATAGCAAAATCCTCACCGCCCTTTCACTTGCAACCTGAGAGACCCTAAGTATCTTCTTTGAAACAATTGCAAGCCCTGCCCCATGGCTTAGCAGCTCGGATCTGCCTTCGGCGTATCTGCACACTGCATCGAGCACTGTTAGTATCATCTCACAAACCCTTTTCTCCGATGAATTGAGAAGCAAGTCGATCAAGTGCGGTACTACCCCTGCTTCAGCTGCCTTGATCTTGTTTCGACCACGTGGACAGATATAGACCAACAGTTGTAGAGTAGCTTTTGTGGCTTGTTGAGAGATTTGATCACACAAAACTCGAACTAATTCGACAAATAATTCCGGTCTCAATCTGACGAGCTGCATTGGATCAGCTATCTCCAGCATTGATTTCAATAACAGTACTCTCGTTCATTACTCTCGTTAAGGACACTATGAAATCTCCATTTTTGCCCATAAGATTCTTCAGACTAGCTTCTGAGAGTTGAAGACCGTAGAGAATGCTTAATGTTAAAAGTCAAATAATTTAGGCACCAAATGGTATTTTGTCAAAGTCAAAAATTAGGCACCTAATTTTTGTTGAAATTGGGTAATGGGATAATTAATTTTAGTCATTGTAATTTAGGGTATTTATAAGATTAGTCCTTAAGTTTCAACTATAAATATCATAGGTCATTTAGCTTCAAAATCATCCCAAAGCATTTTAGCTTTCTTCCAATACTAGAGAGAATTTAGAGAGTTTCTTGAGAGTTGTTTTCTCCTTTTTATCTAGAGAGAATTATCATTGTTTTCTCCTTGGTAGATCGAGAGAGGTTGTAATTCCTATTTTCTCATAGTGAAATTCTTCTACCGTTGCTTGTGGTTTTTACCCTAAATTTTTAGGGGTTTTCCAAGTAAATTTTGTGTCTCTTTTATCTTCATTTTTATTTTCTCAAATTATCAGTTGCGATTTTGCTCTATCCGATAGCCGTCTTCCGCAACAATTGGTATCAGAGCTAGATTAGAGTGTGTAATATCTACTTATTGTCTTTGTGGTTGCCACCAAAAGGTGGATCCTCCAACATAAGAAAGTAAGAAGTTATTACACATTCTTTGAAGGTTCCAGATAACTATTCACGATAGTGAAATAGTGGGAGCTATCCGTAAACGAAGCAATGGCAACGAAATTTGATATTGAAAAGTTCAATGGGAGAAATTTTTCATTGTGGAAATTGAAGATGAAGGCCATCCTGAGGAAAGACGGTTGTCTAGCAGCTATCAGCGAAAGGCCAGTAGATTTCACATACGACAACAAATGGATCGAAATGGATGGAAATGCTATGACAAACTTTCATCTAGCATTAGCTGATGAAGTATTGTCAAGTATCGAGGAGAAGAAAACAACTAAGGAGATATGGGATCATCTCACCAAACTGTACGAGGCCACATCGTTGCACAATAAAATTTTCCTTAAGAGAAAATTGTACACTCTCCGTATGCCAGAATCTACTTCAGTGACGGAGCACTTAAATACACTGAACACTTTATTTTCTCAGCTTACATCCTTAAGCTGTAAAATAGGAGAACAAGAACGTGTTGAACTTCTACTTCAAAGTCTACCGGATTCATATGATCAACTCATCATCAACTTGACAAACAGTAATGTCACCAGTCTAGTCTTCGATGACGTTGCAGCTGCTGTTCTACAAGAAGAAAATCGGTGCAAGAACAAGGAAGACAGACAAGTAAATCTGCAACAAGCAGAAGCGTTGACAACGATGACAACAATGAGAGGGAGATCAACATAACGTGGCCAAAGCAGCAGTCACAAACATTGTAGATCGAAGTCGAGAAGTAAGAAGAATTTAAAGTGTTACAACTGTGGAAAGAAGGATCACTTGAAGAAGAATTGTTGGAGTCTAAATAAAAACTCCAATCCACAAGGCAATACCGCAAACAGTTCAGATGATGGAGATGCTCTATGCTGTGAAGCGTCAACCACTGTGGAAGGAAGAAAACGATTTGCAGATATATGGCTCATTGATTTGGGAGCAACATATCACATGACCTCAAGAAGAGAATGGTTTCATCATTATGAACCTGTCTCAGGAGGATCTGTGTATAGTTGCAATGATCATGCCTTAGAGATCGTTGGCGTGGGAACCATCAAATTGAAGATGTATGATGGAACAATTAAAGTTGTTCGAGATGTGCGGCACGTGAAAGGTCTGAAGAAAAATTTATTATCCTACGGATTGTTGGATAATAATGCTAGCAAGATTGAAACACGAAAAGGAATCATGAAGGTGTTCCGTGGAGCGCTTGTGGTGCTTAAAGGCGAAAAGATAGCATCAAACTTGTACATGCTGAAGGGAGAGACTTTACTAGAAGCAGAAGCCTCTGTTGCCTTATGTAGTTCAGATTCTGCAATGCTATGGCATCATAAACTTGGACACATGTCAGAACAAGGAATGAAAGTCCTTGTGGAGCAAAAGCTACTTCTAGGCTTAACGAATGTATCACTTACTTTGTGTGAGCATTGCATAACAAGTAAGCAGCACCGGTTGAAATTCAACACATCAAATTCTAGAGGCAAAAGTGTTCTAGAATTGGTTCACTCTGACGTATGGCAAGCACCAGTTACATCCCTAGGCGGAGCAAAATACTTTGTTTCATTTATTGATGACTACTCCAGGAGATGTTGGGTGTACCCTATTAAGAAGAAGTCAGATGTGTTTTCAACTTTCAAAAACTTCAAAGCGCGGGTGGAACTTGATTCTGGAAATAAGATCAACTGTTTCAGAACAGATAATGGAGGAGAATACACAAGCGAAGAATTTGATGACTTTTGCAAGAAAGAAGACATCAAACGACAGTTCACAGTGGCAATCACTCCTCAACAAAATGGAGTGGCAGAGCGGATGAACATAACCTTGTTAGAAAGAACAAGAGCAATGTTGAGGGACGTAGGCCTAGAAAAATCATTTTGGGCAGAAGCAGTCAATACCGCCTGTTATTTGGTGAATCGAGCTCCATCAACTGCAATAGAGCTGAAGACACCAATAGAGATGTGGACTGGTAAACCAGTTGATTATTCAAACCTCCATGTATTTGGAAGTATTGTGTACGTGATGTACAACGCCCAAAAAATTTCAAAGTTGGATCCAAAATCCAGGAAATGGAAATTCTTGGGATATGCTGATGGTGTAAAGGGGTATCGCTTGTGGGATCCCACTGCCCGCAAAGTGATCATCAGCAGGGATGTTATCTTTGTAGAAGATAAACTACAAAGAAAAGAAGATGATGATAGCGCTAAAAAGTCAGAGACTACACAGATACATTTGGAAAAGGAGGTTGAACAAGGAGATTATTCTGAAGCAGAACCAGCACATGATGAACAAGAACCAGAGAGTTCTGAAACTCCAACAACTCGTCAATCAGATCGTGTGAGAAGACGTCCCAATTGGCATTCAGATTATGTTATAGAATGTAATATTGCATATTGCCTTTTAACAGAGGACGGTGAGCCATCAACATACCAGGAGGCAATAAACAACTCAGATGCTTCACTGTGGATGATGGCGATGCAAGAAGAAATTGAAGCCCTTCATAAAAATAATACATGGGACCTTGTGCCACTACCACAAGGAAGGAAGCCAATCGGTAACAAATGGGTCTTCAAAATCAAGCGAAATTGTGACGATCAAGTTGAGAGGTATCGTGCAAGACTGGTGGTCAAAGGATATGCTCAAAAGGAAGGTATTGATTTCAATGAAATATTTTCTCCTGTGGTTCGACTAACAACAGTTCGAGTAGTTTTGGCAATGTATGCTACATTGAACTTACATCTAGAGCAACTAGATGTTAAAACAGCTTTTCTTCATGGAAATCTTGAAGAAGAGATTTATATGCTCCAGCCTGAAGGTTTTGAAGAAGACGAAAAGAAGAACTTGGTTTGCAGGTTGAACAAATCTCTGTACGGTCTAAAGCAGGCGCCGAGGTGTTGGTATAAGAGATTTGATTCCTTCATTATGTGCCTTGGATACAACAGACTTAATGCTGACCCTTGTGCTTATTTCAAGAGGTCTGGTGATAACGATTTTGTTATATTGCTGTTGTATGTGGATGACATGTTGGTTGCAGGACCCAACAAAGATCATATTGAAGAATTGAAGGCACAACTAGCTAGGGAATTTGAAATGAAGGACTTGGGATCAGCAAACAAGATTCTAGGGATACAAATTCACCGAGACAGAAGTAATAGGAAGATTTGGCTTTCACAAAAGAATTACTTGAAGAAAATCTTGTCACTATTTAGCATGCAAGATTGTAAGCCAATTTCTACCCCTCTTCCTATTAACTTCAAATTATCCCCTAGTATGAGTCCTAGCAGTGAAGAAGAGAGGATGGAGATGTCTCGAGTACCTTATGCATCAGCAGTGGGAAGCTTAATGTTCGCTATGATATGCACAAGACCAGACATTGCACAAACAGTGGGAGTGGTTAGTCGGTACATGGCGAATCCAGGCAAAGAGCATTGGAATACAGTAAAGAGGATCCTGAGATACATCAAAGGGACCTCAAATGTTGCATTATGTTACGGATGATCAAATTTACTAATCAATGGT